TGTTCCTTTAGGTTTTTTTCTGACATTTAAAATAGTCCTTCACAAAATTTCATCCTTTTGCTAATTTATTTCATTACATTTGCCTATGGACTTATGTTATCTCATGGGCAGCTTAAAGACATAAAATTGCCCTAGCAGGTGTTTGTCTTATAATATTCCATTAAACTGTACATTTTAAAGATAGTTTTCTGTATTTGTTTGGTATTTAGCAAAGAAGTTGCCTGTGCTGAACGGCAAATGAGAATCGGAGTGAAATGCCACACGGGGCTGCTATTTTCTGTAAAATATATAAGACAAAGAAGAAGGAAGAGAAGGAGTCGGGAATGCGCGGGAAGGAAAAGTATATATGTACACCAGCGAGAAAAGCTATGCTCTTTAACGATACAATAAAAAACTTCAAACAAACAAACAAAAACTCACCTGGAGAAATTGTGTGAATTCTGTATAGTTCAGGTGCTTCTTCCGGTTATGCCCAAAGTGCAGTCGGATAAATTCACAGTCCCAGTTAAAAGGGATATGATGATGGATAATAGTCTGTCCAAAAATTTCTTTGACATTTTCTTAAAAAGGAAAACAAAAGCAAATCCATTAGATCCAGAATAAGTAGTTTAATCCACTGCAATGTTCCTACAGAAAGAAATTAAGAAAAGTTTTAAAAGTCAATATCATCTGCCTCTATTAAGATTAATTGCAATTTTTTGTGTCTGAGCCTGAAATCACATGTGCAGGAACACAATTGATACAAAATATAATTTTACACTTAAGATTGTGTACCATTACATATAAGGCCGTGAGATTCTTAATTTCTCTTGATTTAATTTTAATTAGGAAGTGATTTATATCTTACACTATAAATGGCTGCTACTTTGCATTCCACTATAAAATCAATAGAGTTTTCCCGTTTCCTCAAGGAGTCGAATTAAGCCCTTTATCAGAAGCCTGAATACCTAAATTACAGTAGAATACAATATTTGTCATACTAAGTATGGTTTGATTGAGGCTTGATTATTACATTCACACTAGCCTGAATAAGTCTATTGAAGATAGGTATAAGAAATACCCCCAAAAGCATATCATTAGCTCAGCGGCAAGCACCTTATTAAAAGCCTCTGATATTGTCAAAAAATATGGTCTTGACACAAAGCTTCAAAACTCCCATAAAAACCATAATTATTAGTCTCAATTATTAAGATATTCTAAGATAAGTGAAATGGTGATTCACTTTTAAATACAGTAGGACTGACTACACGCAGTACACTAACTTTTAGGTAGGAGCCAGTCACCCTGGATAATACACAAGCAAACCGGGAGGCCTGCTCTGCCGGACTCTTCAGCACTCACACTCTGCGACCTCGCTATAAAAAAGTCAATTCACAAATGACTGGTACTGTAACAAGCATAGACCAGATAGACTAATTGAGAAGCTCATGCCAAAAGAAAAAAAAAGGGGGGGGGGGTCATTAACGAAGTTAAGAAAGCAGGAAGCCTATTTTCCTGATGTCTTCAGAACAAAATGATTTTTGAATTCAAGCCAATTGTATTAGTGAAATGGTTTTTAACTACCAACAGCTATTCATTATACTAGAGAATTAGTAAATGCAAGTTTAATGTTTTGAAATCTCCAACTCTGCTATTGCCCCTAATATCTGCAAATTCTTTGACTAGGACACGAACGCTCAGGTTGTAAATGGATTCCCTTTAGTTTGAGAGCCTCTTTTTCTTGATAAAAGCATGACTGCTGAGATAGGGTAAGACTCCTGAACTGGAAATCCTGCTAGTGTGGACGTAATGTCACAGCTCTGGGTAAATCACTGCCATCAGCAAGGCTGGATGGAAGCATTGCATGTCACTGGGGAGATGGGATTCTCATCTGTTTTTTCAAATGGAATGGAACATTCGTTCCTTGGCTAAATACTATACTGTCTGTGCATTTGGAAATCATGCGACATTATTTTCACCACCCTTAAGCACAAAGTAAATATATGAGGTTTTGTTCCTAAAAGCAAAGAATCAAGAGCAATGTATGGACTTCTGACCAACACAAAACATTATCCTTAAATTTATGTGAACTTTCAAGAAGTTACAAAATATATTTTTGGTAGAAGTTTATGTATAATAAGGGTTGTAAAAAATAGTTTTGGCTAAAATTATGACATAGCAGGAAATATATATGTACATATACATATAATCCTTTTAATTAATTAGCTATTTCTAGTCCTAAATTAATTTATTATCTCTAAAGTCTAACTAAAAGTGTTGTCCTAAAACCAACGGAAAGCAGAGCAGGCTAACAAATTACTGCAGAAATTTAAGTACTATTAGAATTATTAAATGGACTAAGTTATTTCAGGGCAAGCTTTCTTTTAAAGGTCACAACTCCCAAGGCACAGTTACTTGATAAGAAAAGTCCCTATCGTTACTTGTATGATGGTGGAACAGGACTGGGTTTCCCTTCATCTCAGAAAATATCAGAATCTCAGAGTATGAAACTACATCAAGGAAAGACAAAGATTCAAATGTTTTCAAAGTAAATTTGTTTTATCTATGGATTTTTTTCCGACTGTGACAAAAAGGCTATTTATAAACCCACATTGCCATGCTTAATTTACATTTGGAAAAAACGTTCTCTAAAATAAAAACTTCAGCTAGAAATGCCATCTTCTAAACTTCCTAGTTCTCTAAATAAAATCCCGGAGTGTCTCTAAAGCCATGAAAAGTGCTGACCTAGGTTCCTCAGAGGGACTCCCCAAGGCAGCGGGTTTCGTTTTCCACGGGCGTTTGGGTGGATGCTTCCTCCTTCTCCCAGAGTGGGTACCTGATGCGCTGCATGTGGTTTGACTGTGACCATCACTAGATGCTGTGGTTATGAACAGCCCCCAGCAGCCACATTAATGATTGGAGCCTAGTCACACAGGCCACAACAGCGGTCACAAAGACTAACCATTTCAAACACACTTTGGCACCACTACCAACTTCCTGCCACTGGTTCAGGAACCTTACCAAAATCATTAATCCAATGATTGGTTTGAAGGCCAATTCAAAATCAGCATTTAGCCTTCACCAGGATGTACTTTATTAAATAGAAAAATTTATTCAAAAGCCCCAGGACTTGGAGATGCCTCTTAAATCTCCTTGACTCCTTTCTTTTCTTGACAAGCGGCTAGTTAGGTGAGGCAATAGCACCAACATCTGATGTTCTGTTTATGTTACCCAGGTTTATCAGGTCCTGCCTGGCATGGAAGTGGGCACCAGTCATCTCAAATATGCCCAATAGATCTAACTGAAATTGTACATTGCAAGTGTTCCCACCCCCCCGTGAGAATCCCGTCTTTCCAGTGGCAAACAAGGGTCTGCAGCTCTAAAGAGCACTCAGAAAATGCTATTGCATTGGCCATCGTTCGGGCCGGATGAAAGGGATATGACTGTCCCGTCTCTCAGGCAGCAAGATCATGATCTCGTGTTTTATACTAGGTTGGTATTGCTAACAGAAACAGGAATCCACTCATTTTCTGAGATATAGAAAACACTAGTCCACTTGTTCACTTCCTGCAGAGCGTGGACTTAGGAAAGAGATGGCTTATAATTCCTTTGAAAAGGGAGTTGGGGCCAAACACAAAAGTGGCCTGTCATTACGTTCTCCTTGTTCAAAGGAGAGGGGCACACTGACTTGTCTGGAGGAGGGCAGGTAATGGTGACAACTGTGAGCAGGTAAAAAAAGTTCACAAATGTTTAGATAACATTAGTCAGTTTAGTTGTATCAGTCACTTATGATGATCGGACTAGATGAAACACACTTTGGAGCATACATATTGTGTAAATATGTCTTACCGGAAGTATTCCTTTCCCAAGCAGCCCACACTGTTGCTCCCCAATTCATCCACCCTCGTCCCTCCCCTGGTTCTCATGGGTGCTTCCTATGGGTCTTGTTCACCTTTCTGCAGTACAAAGTTACCTCTGACCGGGGCTGGCACTCTTCTCCAAGACTGCCGCCATGCCTGCTCCATGAATGAGCCTGGAAGGAGCTGCTGTACCAACGCTGTGGCCAGAGAACTCCTCCTGTAGGTATACAAGCCATCAGCCCTGAGACACAGCCCACCTACCATCAGCCCCAAGACATCCTGAGTCCGAAGATTCCAGTCCAGCAGGAGCCACTTAAGAGGCTTGAGCCCACACATGTTCATTGTCAGGGGGAGAAAAAGACCCCTCAGTAGCTGAGTTTCTGCTCAAGGGACGTCAGAGAGGCTTTCAGAAGGACTTGTACCATAGGAAAGAACAATGACTATCTCTTTTGTGTCGCTGAACAAAAACAACAGTGAGACATGTGTTTGTTTGGTGTTTTTCAGTGAAGGGGAGGAAAGAGGAGGAACAACTAGCAGACCAAAAAGCAAAACAGGGAAACAAACAACAGTAACAAAAAGACCAACAACAGGAACTTTCGGAGGAAGTGCCAACCAATATAGCACTTGGTCCCAACTTCTGGGCTCTACTTTCGGTGGCATCATTGGTTTCCATGGTGACCTCCTCTGTCTCTCTAGGAGAAAGTGCTTCTATTCGTCTTACCCCTTCTCCTCCAGAAGGTGTAATTAAGCTGGACAACCGACCACCATCGTGATCCTGCTGTCAAATCCATGTAAAGGGCCATTACTCAGGAAAGATGAGTTTACACTTAAAGAGCATCTATGACTAAATAAATTAGATGCACCAATTGTTGGTCACCAAATGGTATAAAAAAAGAAAAATACCGTGTCTTTTTCTTTCTTTTTTTTTTTTTTTGCCTCCAACTCTGTTTCTCTAGTAGCCTTGAATATGATTCTGACATTGACATTATCACTGGTGTCCGAAAGCAAGGCACATAAAGGAGTCCCAAGCACGCTGGCTGCTTTACCTTGAACCTTGAGGTGAAGCACCCCTTACCAGATTAAGGCAGGCATTTACTACTTTTTGAATTTCATATCATTCCATGTCTACAGCATTGTTTCCACTGAGAAAGGATAAAGTATTGTTCATATATGTACTTATATCTCCAGAGCCTCTTAGTAATATGCCTAAACCACTCTTTCCCTCTAGGGAAAAAGAGCTTATTTTAGAGACACTAATGAAATCGTTGTTGATTTGTTGGATGTACCGACGACTGGCTACAATCTGAATCAAAAGCAATCCATGCTTCTGGAGGGTCCTACGGCCAGGGGAGCCTGGTGGACCTTTGGAAAAGTTCGCTCTGGAGGTTCCTACTTCTAGACAGACTCTGGACCACCACGTTGACGAGTTTTTAATCGGGAACCTCGAACAGATTACATGTTTCATACTCATTTATTAGTCGACAGCTAGGAGGGCATTTTTAGAAACGCATCTTTGTTAAAGCAACAGCCTGTTTGGTCTTAATTTGGGACAAATGGATGGCAACTCTCCAGCTTCACTGGTCATCTTGGCTACCTCAGGCAGACTATCCAGGTCACAAGTGGACATAAGAAGACCAAGGTGATTCACCCTGCATCCAGCACACACCAGTCATGCAACAGCCTCTACAAGGCTCAGGCCACCGGGCAGAAATACATATCCAAGCTACTAAGTAACTATCCACAGCATGCGTTAGGTGTTTTATTAAAGGAACATCAAATAGGAAACAATGAACTCATGGCTTTAGTCACTCTGTTAAAACTGCCAGATCCTCTCCTAAACTTGCACATTCTGCCGTGGATTGCCAAGATCTCAAACTGAATCCTGTTTCCCAGAGTGAGGGCGTTTCTAGCAGGAAAAAATCCTGTTTGGCACTCAGGTAAATGGTGTTCGGGCATCGCTTTTTATGTAAGTACTTGCAAGGTTGCACACAATATAAGTCTATAACTTAATGTGTATAAAAAGCATACCTAAAAAAATAAAAGCAGATGAGAGCAATATGCACAAATACACAGGAAACATGATCATTATAATCCACAAGAGAGATTCTATTCATGGTCTAATAGCATTCCCCACAGGATTGCACCTTCCAACCAATATTCTCTCCCACTTTTCTCTCTTCATGTGCAAAAAAGAAAGTTCTACTTTAAATATGCCCCAAACTAGAAAACATAAGGCTATTATTTGGGTGAAAGAGCTTTAGCGTTAGAATGGACTTAAAATTCCCTTTTGCCTAACTATATGTCTACAAATACATAAGCGCAATTCATTTTATTAAGTGGGTACAAACATGAAGACTGACCTTCATCACAGATCCAAAATCCTATTAAAATAAACTCCAAGTTAATTATTTCCTTATGCAGACATTCTGAAGCCTTGAATACAGCCTGAAATAAGTGGGCCTTAGAAATCTTGTTAAATGACATTTGTTATAACAGTTTCAATGTGTTTCCCCTTTTCTTGTGACTATGAAATTAAACATTCACTCCTTCATTATGCTTTATTTCATTTTAGTTAAGAAAATCTGTCTCAAAATGGGATTCTCAAAATCAGGGAGGAAGGATGGGGAGAGAAAATGAGCAACAACCAGAGGAAACAGGTGAGCTGGCCTCTCCCCTGTGTGGTCCAGAGGACCATTCAGGGGACTCGAGAACACACAAACAAGGCTGAAAGGGGACCCAGTTCTCCTGTGTGTTGATTATGGAGCAAGCGAGGGAGTGAAAGCAGGACTCTGGAAGGGTCCTGTGCTCTCCAGTTCATACTAGGCGCTAAAAGGAAACCAAGTCAAAACTAAAAAACAACTTTTTTTAGTTGGGTTTTTAATCCTTGTTGTACTTGCTTCAATTCTTAACTTCCAAGCCATAGAGGAAAGCAAGAGATCTAGCAAATGCTAAAAGTGGAATCTAATAAGTGCAAGCTTTCATCTCCATGAAATAATAAAATGTGTGTACACCGACTACAGAGCTCCTGCCAACCCTCATATTAATCTCCTAATAAAGGGTGGCATGGTCTCGGCGCACATGTTGGATGAATTGACTTGGGCACCTTATTTTTTAAAATAAGGGGAAAGCACTCCAGCGGAGTGATTACAAAGAATCATGATATCAAGGGTGGAGGGGCAAAAGAAAAATTTGGTTTGGGGACGTCTAATTCTTGGGCAATATACACGTGAGTTAAGCACAGGCAAGGCACCACTAGCTCAGCTATTCATATTGTTACTCCCCAAGCACTTCCGCACCACCTGTGGAAGTAAGACAGAGCATGTGTGACACCTACTGAATAAAGAAAATGAAACATTATTGCTATCATAGGTTTAACACACACTGACAAGAGGGCGGGGTCTTGTGGTTTCAGCTACAGAATCTAGGTTTTGCTGAAGAAAGTCAACTGTTGTAGCTCTGGAAGACATACTAATCAGAGTTTCGGCGGAGAGAATGCCGAAACCTCCCCGGAAACCTGGAGAGCTGTATGCACTTATTTATTTGGAGTCTCATCTCACATAGGAGACGATTGGATCAATAAGCAGCCAGAAGGGAGTAATCGATACTAAGTTAGAAAATGTGCTCACTAGACCCCAGCAAAGGCCCACTGGCCCTTCTGAGTACTGTATTCACTCCTTCTCACCACGGCAGTCGCAGGCTTCTTCCTTTGGGTCTGAAAGGGCAGTTGGTTGATAACCCAGCCACCAAGTGAATCAATATTTAACAGCTGTGGCTCAAGGAAAGACTGACTTTCAATTTTGGTGCCAATTCAGCTAAACGAGGGACTCACTGTTTTGGTTGAAAAGCCTGTTGCAGGAAAATTAACTGATGCTCTTAGGAAACATCAGTGAATTTGTGCAAGTAAGCATTTCTAAAATCAGACACACGGCTACAAATTGTAATCTCACTTTGCACTTCTGGGAGACATCAACAATGTGTAGGGTCAGATTTGCGTGTTCCGGCTTGGATTCTTAAACTCCAAATCTAAACTAACTAATCCTACCTGAATTCTCGCCCCCAGCCCCATTCTTGCTGTTTGAAGTGACGTCGAATCAATTTTTAGCAGAGACTCTCTACACTCCCTGCCTGGGAATCCCTGCCCGGGAGAATGAGATCACGCCATACTGTTCGCAGTCTACCCTTCAGGAAGCCATTTGCCCAGGCTGGCCCAGAACAGAAATATTTTGGACCAGCTATTTTAGGAACCTGACCGTGACTCAAAGGCTGAGGCAATGACATTCCTAGATCCTTTGACCCTTGGCAACAGCCTAATGCTTTAAAGGCAAGAAAATGATTTGTTGTGCTTGTGTACTTTCTTTTAGGAAATTAGGAAATTACTTATTGATGAAGGTCCTACAGAAGTAGCGATCTGTACTGTTGGTACAGACTGGACCAGCCTCACTGACTTTACTTGAACGCTTAGAATCTTTTTTATTCCTTACCAAATGTCACCTCTCCACTTCCACTCTTGTCAAACAGCTGGAAAGCCACGATGAACATGGAGTCTGGAGCGCACAGGACAGATTCAAACGCCAGAAACTCTTGATAGGAGATCAACCTGGAATAAAATGGAAGGGGTTACTGACTGGTAACCAAAGGGAAAAGAGCAGCTGTTCCTCCCGGCGCTGCTATCTGAGCCGTAGCCGAGATAACTAAGGGCAAGTTCTCTCTTTGAGGTCTTCCCACAAATGCAGAAGGAACGCTAGAATTAGGATATTACCCTTTTCCAAACCTATGAAGGTAACACACTTGGGCAACACACACACATATAATAATAATCAATCAACCGTTTCCAGCATCATGAAAGACAGAACCACACTGAGGTAGTTAAACCTCAATCTGACCAAACCTCCAAACCAGGTTCTTGCAACCTTGACATTATCACCATGTAGGATCAGATCATTCTTTGCTCTGGGGTCTCCTGTGCCGTACGTAACTTTACCAGCATTCCTGGCCTCAGCCTTCTGCATACGCATGGCACTCTCAAAATTGTGGCATGCACAGCTATGTCCAGGCAGAATCATCATCAAGGGAAATTGGACAATGAGAACCACTGCTGCAGACTTAGTTAACAATTTGTAGAAAACGCAAGATGCAGAAGAAACACCCATGAAACACCATCACAAGAACTCAACTAGCAAAAATTCAGTCAGGGAAAAACTGCAAGGCAGATGTCTACAGGAAAAAATTTTTACTACAGATATGGAAGGAAACCTTGATTTTATTTTATTTATTTATTTATTTTTAACATTTTATTAGGGGATCATACAACTGTTATCCCAATCCATACACACATCAATTGTGTAAAGCGCATTTGTACATCATTTCTCAAAACATTCTCTCCATTTAAACCCCCGACATTAGGTCCTCATTTTTCCCCTCCCTCCCCGCTCCCCCCTCCCGCATGAGCCCTTGATAGTTTATAAATGGGTATTTTGTCGAAACCTTGATTTTAAAAGACCTCAGTGCAAAGTAAAAGGAAATAGAGGAAAGAACGAGGAGGCAAAAGACATTTATAAACGTATAAACATAGACAAACACATTTGTAC